AGCTTCGTTCGGGCTTCAAGATTTTCCTTAGCCTTCTTGTGAACCTGTTTTACTAAATCGGCTTTCTTCTTGCCATCTAAACTTGATCTTTCACTCAAAGGTAAAGGCATTAGATCCAAAGGAGAAGTGGGCTTGAACCCGTAAACGATAAAAGGAGAAATCTTAGTCGCGGAATGCACCGAATGATTATAAGCAAATTCAACATGCGGTAAGCAATCTTCCCAAGTCTTAAGGTTCTTTTTAATGAGCACACGCAATAAAGTAGACAAGGTTCGATTCACAACTTCAGTTTGACCATCGGATTGCGGATGACATGTAGTAGAGAAAAGTAATCTAGTTCCTAATTTCGACCACAAAGTTTTCCAAAAATAACTAAGGAACTTAGTATCACGATCGGAAACTATGGTCTTAGGTATGCCATGTAAACGAACAACTTCTCTAAAGAACAAGCTAGCAACATGAGATGCATCATCGGTTTTATGACATGGAATGAAATGTGCCATTTTAGAAAAGCGATCAACAACCACAAAGATAGAATCCTTACCCGTCCTAGTCCTAGGCAATCCTACCACAAAGTCCATAGATATATCATTCCAAGGATGCAAAGGAATAGGTAAAGGGGTATACAAACCGTGGGGTTGAACCTTAGCTTTCGCTTGCTTACAAGTCGCGCACCGTTCACATAGTCGTTCGACATCTCTCTTCATGTGTGGCTAATGGAAGTGTTCTTGCATTACCTTGTACGTTTTAGCAACTCCAAAGTATCCCATTAAGCCACCGCCATGAGCTTCCCTTAGAAATAATTCTCGCAAAGAAGAGTGAGGCACACAAAGTCGATTTTCAAAGAACAAATAGCCATCATGCCGATAATATTTTCCAAAGGCAAACTTTTCACAAGATTGGAATATTTTGCTAAAATCAGAATCATTAGCATACAAGTCCTTTATTTGTTCAAATCCCAACAATCTTGCATCCAAAGAAGTAAGCAAAACATACCTTCGAGATAATGCGTCGGCTACAACATTATCTTTACCTTTTTTGTATTTAATCACGTATGGAAAGGTTTCTATGAATTCGACCCACCGTGCATGACGTTTGTTGAGATTTTGTTGACCTTTTAAGTGCTTGAGAGACTCGTGGTCCGTATGAATGACGAACTCTTTTGGCCATAAATAGTGTTGCCACATTTGTAGTGCTCGGACCAATGCGTAAAGCTCTTTGTCGTAGGTCGGATAGTTGAGTGTTGCTCCTCCTAACTTCTCACTAAAGAACGCTATGGGCTTATGATCCTGCATCAAAACAGCTCCAATACCTAACCCGGAGGCGTCACACTCAATCTCAAAAGTTTTCATAAAATTAGGAAGAATTAAGACGGGAGAATTAGTAAGCTTCTCTTTCAAGGTTTGGAATGCGTCTTCTTGGGCAGCTTCCCATTTAAATCCAACGTCCTTCTTGATAACTTCCGTAAGTGGCGCGGCAATGGTGCTAAAATCCTTGACAAATCGTCGGTAAAATCCCGCTAAACCGTGGAAGCTCCTTACCTCACTTACATTCTTAGGGCTTGGCCATTCTCGAATCGCCTTAACCTTTTCTTCATCTACCTTGATTCCATCTGCACTTACAACAAAGCCTAGAAAAACAAGATTATCCGTGCAAAAGGTGCACTTCTTCAAGTTCGCATAAAGCTTTTCCTTTCGAAGCAAGTCCAAAACGAGTTTAAGATGCATGACATGATCTTCTAAGTTCTTACTATAAACCAAGATGTCATCAAAATAAACAACAACAAATACTCCAATATGCTTCCTAAGGACATGATTCATCAATCTCATGAAAGTGCTAGGTGCGTTTGTTAACCCAAATGGCATAACTAACCATTCATACAATCCTTGTTTAGTTTTAAAAGCCGTTTTCCATTCATCACCTTCCTTCATCCGGATTTGATGATAACCACTTTTAAGATCAATTTTTGAAAAGATTCTAGAACCATGCAACTCATCAAGCATATCATCTAAACGAGGGATAGGGTGGCGATACTTAACCGTAATATTGTTGATGGCTCGGCAGTCCACGCACATACGCCAACTCCCATCTTTCTTTGGTACTAGTAACACCAGAACGGCATAAGGACTCATGCTCTCTCGAATATGTCCTTTGTCCATAAGCTCGTTCACTTGCCTCTCGAGTTCTTTTGTTTCGGTTGAGTTGGTGCGATAAGCTGGTCGGTTTGGTAAAGCGGCTCCCGGAACAAAGTCGATTTGATGCTCGATCCCTCGGATGGGTGGTAAACCTATGGGATTATCTTCCGGAAACACGTCCTTAAACTCTTGCAAAACCAACTTGATCTTACTCGGTAGCACCGGTTCGGGATTAGTTGAACAAGTAAGAGTTTCTTTGAAAACAAAGAGTAAACTATTTTTATGACCTACCTTGTTCTTACCCTTGGTATCGATCGGTTCGGTTGGTTTGATGGCCCGTTGCTCCATACTTAGCTGATCTAGATAGATTTCGTGCGGAGTCATCGGAATAAGAGTCGTTTTTCGGCCATTGTGTTCAAAGGTGTGTCGATTGGTGAAGCCATTGTGGAGAACTTGTCGATCCGATTGCCATGGGCGTCCAAGAAGAATGTGACTAGCATCCATTGGTAGTATATCACACACGATCTCGTCTTGATACTTGCCGATTGACAATGGAACCTTGACTTGTTCGTTGACGGACATCTCACCATTTTTGTTAAGCCATTGGAGCGAATATGGTCTCGGGTGTTTAAGCACTTCTAAACCAAGCTTCTCAACCATACTTCTACTCGCAACATTGGTACAGCTTCCTCCGTCAATAATCAAGCTACATACCTTACCTTTGACTAAACATCTTGTGTGAAACAAGTTTTCCCTTTGCGCTTGCTCTTCGGCCTTAGTTAGAACACTCAATGATCTTCTCGCAACAAGCAACTCTCCTTTAGTTGGGGCTTCCAAACTCTCTTCCATTGAATCGTTTTCAAAACGTTCATCTTCGGATTCTACTTCACCATTGTCTCTAAGGACCATGATCCTTTTGTTAGAACAATCGCTCGCGTAGTGCCCAAGTCCTTGACACTAAGCATCGAATATCTCTAGCCCTTGTGGTCACTTCCTTACCCTCTCCTTTCGGGTCTGAATCTAGCGGTTTTGGCTTGACGAATGGCTTGTAGTCCTTTTGGTAGACGGATTTCTCTTCCTTTTGATAACTTGGTTTTTCCGAGCTGTATTTGGTTTTGGTGGTGCCGTAGCTTAATCGGGAATTTCTTCTTTTGATTTGCTGTTCGAACATGACCGCTTTGTGAAGCATCTCATCAAGTTCCACATAGTGTTGAGTTTCTAGACGATCTTGGATTTCTCGGTTGAGACCTCCCATAAATCGGGACATAACGGCTTCTCCATCTTCTTGAATATCGGCTCTTAGCGTAAGCGTTTCCATTTCTTTAAAATATTCCTCGACCGTCTTGCTTCCTTGGACAAAATTCCTTAGCCGTTGATCTAGATCACGATGGTAATAACTTGGCACAAATCTCTTTCGCATGATGGTTTTCAACTGGTTCCATGTTTCAATCGGATAGTCTCTGGCACGTCTTCGGCTGGTAACAAGTTGATCCCACCAACTTAGCGCATAGTCGTAGAACTCAGTAGCCGCAACTTTAACCTTGTTGGCCTCGGTACACTCTTGACAAACAAAGACTAACTCAATTTTCTGCTCCCACTCCAAGTAAGTGTCCGGATTGTTGGTTCCGTGAAAGGCGGGAATCTTGAGTTTTATGTAAGTGCGGATGAGGTAAGATAAATTGCAGAAAGTAAACGAGACAAGAAATTTGTTAACGAGGTTCGGTTTTTCCTACTCCCCGGGACCAAGTCCAGATTCGATTTCACTAGAACAAGAAAGCAAATTACAACCAATTCGCAAACGCGTAAAACAAGCCCAACCCTCTTGATTTACCGCTCCCTTCTATAACGTGAAACCTTAAGGATAAATCTCTACCCTTAACTAAACTCTCCTGAGCCTAGATTTAATCAGGATAACCTAACCCTGAGCTAAACTCCCCTGAGTCTAGACTTTAATTCTCCAAAGTTTCTCGAACGACCACCACACACGAATCGTCACACCAACGAACCCAATGGTCACCAAAACTCTCCAACGAGAACCTTCAACACCAACACACAAATAAGCTTGATCACACAAGCATTTAACCCGCGAAACTACGTCGCACACGATCACACACACAATCTCTCACATCGAATCTCCTTGGGATTTTTACTCTTGCAAATCCACATTCTCATAAGGTCACGTCCCCCTTATATAACAAAAAGAAACTTGCGCCTCAAGCTCTTCCAATCACACATAAGAGAAAGTTTTCAAATCCCATAAGGAAAAAGTTTTCCTTTTTGTCAATCCTTTTCTCTTCAAGCAAACTTCCCCTTTACTTACATGACTCCTTTTGCTTCAAACAAAGATAATTTTCCTTTTCTTGACTTGACAAACGCTCCAACACCCAAGTACTCGAGCCCCCCCATCAGCAATTATGCATCTCATCTTCCTGAATCACATCTTGTACTACTTTCTGTACTACTTCAACGACTAGTACATAACACCAAAATAACTGCATCTTCAATCTCCCCCTTTTTGACTATGTATGTGAACTCAACAACTCTAGCTTCAATAACTTCATCACCAATAACACAACACCAATAACTTCAATCAAAAATTGTAAGTGCGGATGAGGTAAGATAAATTGTAGAAAGTAAACGAGACAAGAAATTTGTTAACGAGGTTCGGTTTTTCCTACTCCCCGGGACCAAGTCCAGATTTCGATTTCACTAGAACAAGAAAGCAAATTACAACCAATTCGCAAACGCGTAAAACAAGCCCAACCCTCTTGATTTACCGCTCCCTTCTATAACGTGAAACCTTAAGGATAATCTCTACCCTTAACTAAACTCCCCTTGAGTCTAGATTTAATCAGGATAACCTAACCCTGAGCTAAACTCCACTTGAGCCTAGACTTCAAAACAAAACCACTTGATCACACAAGCACAAAACCCGCAAAACTAAGTTGCACAAAACCGCGAAACTATGTCGCACACACCCTTAGAAAGCTCTCAATGATTTGCCTCTATGCCTCAGCTCTCTTGCCTCTCCAAGACGTCCCCAGCTCCTCCTTATATAGCCAAAACGATTTCCTAATCACCATAGGAGAAGATTTCCAATTTCCATAAGAAAAAGTAAATTTCCTTTTATACTTTTCCTTTTTCTCTTCAAACTCCACTTTCATCAAGTCTTCCAAATCTCTTTAAGTCCTTTTTCCTTTGTGATTCATCCTCTAAACACGCTCCAAACACATCTTCTCAAACCTTCTAGAAACCGACACTTACACAAAAACAGTCGCATCTTGACATACTTCTTGAATCATTCAGAAACTCCATCAGACAAAATCTTGTTTTACTTCTTGACTCATTCAACAACTTCATCAGACTGCAGCTACATCTTCAATCTCCCCCTTTTTGACTATGTTTGTGAACTCAACAGTTCTAACTCCAAAACAACATCACGAAACACATCATCATTCTCCCCCTGAATGAGTCACAACATGGTCAAAACTACTTAGAAAATTCTCCCCGCTTTGCAACACGAGGTTGATAGCCTAGTACACCACCTCCATAGAAATCATCTTTCCTAACCCAAATCTTCATGCGCCTTAAGCCTTCATGACTGGATTCTCGAATGAATCTGAAACAATTCCTCTTAATATGCCCTTGAACTCCACAATGATAACATGTAGGACCATGAAATCTCTTATCATAAGCATTCTCCATTCGATTTCTCTCCCTCAATAATCTGAAACACCTTGGCCTAATATGCCCAACAATACCACAATGATGGCAAACAGGTCGAAAAATTCGTTGAGGTGCACTCTGCAGTTCTTTACCTTTTCCTGTATCAGACTCTGTACCAGTTCTCGTAGTAGTTCTTGTACCTGACGCAGTCTCTGCCACAGTTGCTGTTTCTGACACACTTCCTGATCCAGACGTGATTTTTCCACCATAAACAAACACTGGATCCGATTTTGAAAGTTTTCCTTCAAATCCAAGGCCACACTTATCAATCTTGCCAATATTCAGAATATGATCCAACTTCTTTGTGCCATTATTAAGCATCCTCAAATTCTTTTGAGTTTCTTCAAGTTGTACTTTGGCTTGTGATGCTTCTTCTTCTTTTTCTGCAGCATATTTCTGTAC